ATTGTTGATAATGCTATTAAGTATCAGCGTGCATGAATCCCTTTGAATCAATACTTTTGTATCCTTTAGGTAAATACCTAGTAGTGCTATTTCTGGATCATAGGGTAGTTCTATCTTTAACTTTTTGGGGAACCTCCATCCTGTATTCCGGAGTGGCTGCCCCAGTTTGCATTCCCACCAACAGTGTAAGTGGGTTCCCCTTTCTCCGCATCCTTGCCAACATTTGTTGTTTCCCGTGTTGTTAATTTTAGCCATTTGGACAGATGTGAGGTGATTATCTCATTGTAGTTTTGGTTTGTATTTCCCTGATGATGAGTGATGCTGAGCAACTTTTCATATATCTGTTAGCCATCTGGATGTCTTCTTTGGAAAGATGTCTATTCATGTCTTCTGCCCATTTCTTAATTGGATTATTTGGTTTTTGGGTGTTGAGTTTGATAAATTCTTTATAGATTTTGTATACTAACCCTTTATCAGATATGTCATTTGCAAATCTCTTCTTCCATTCTGAAGATTGCCTTTTAGTTCTGTTGATTGTTTCCTTCACTCTGCAGAAGGTTTTTATTTTGATGAAGTCCCAGTAGTTCATTTTTGCTTTTGTTTCTCTTGGCTCCCAATCTAGTAAGAAGTTGCTACGGCTGATGTCAAAGAAGTTACTACCCGTGTTCTCTTCTAGTATTTTGATGTTTTCCTGTCTCACACTTAGGTCTTTCATCCATTTTGAATTAATTTTTGTATATGGTGTAAGAAAGTGGTCCAGTTTCATTCTCTTATATGTTGCTGTCTGTTTTCCCAACACCATTTGTTAAAGAGACTGTCCTTTTCCCAAAGGATGTTCTTTCCTGGTTTGTCGAAGATTAGTTGATCATATAGTTGTGGGTCCATTTCTGAATTTTCTATTCTGTTCCGTTGATCAATGTGTCTATTTTTGTGCCAGTACCATATTGTCTTGATCACTACAGCTTTGTAATATTACTCGAAATCCTGAACTGTGATGCTTCTAGCTTTACTTTTCTTTTTCAAGATTGCTTTGGCTATTCGGGGTCTTTTGTTGTTCCCTATAAATTTTAGGATTGTTTGTTCTAGCTCTGTGAAAAATGCTGGTGGTATTTTGATAGGAATTGCATTAAATGTGTAGATTGCTTTGGGTAATAGAAACATTTTAACAACACTTGTTCTTCCAATTCATGAGCTCGGAGTATTTTTCCATTTCTTTGTGCCATCTTCAGTTTCTTTCCTACAGTGGAGTTTAAGTGAAAACTTAACTCTACTTAGTCAGATTTTTTTCTGAAACTTACTCAGGTGGTTAAAGGATTCACACCATCCTATAGTTCTGCCTGTTTTCTCTCAGTAGAGAATGGATTAGAGGCAAAAATCACAGGCCATTACTGTAAAATTTTAGGGAAGTAGTGTGTGCTTACACAAAAGTGTGGCTGTGGCGGATGTGAGAAATTAGAGGGAGAACAACAGGTTTTGTTGATTGATTGTTAGTAGAAGTTAAGGAGAAGGAAGAGTTGTCAGCATTAGCTCATGGAAGGTGGATCAAATTCCCAGCTGCAGTGGTCAAGCGGGTTTGGCATGCTGGGACCAATGACAGACACTTAGGAAGGAACGTTTCATGAGAAAACACAGGTACATCATAAGCAGTAATGGCAGCAGCAGGTAGAAGCGGAAGTCACAGATCAAGTCCATATTAGATCATAACAAATAAAGATGTTACAGGCAAAAACTGTGGTTCAAGATGTTAGACTAAGGCATGGCTTCAGATAATGGTGCAGAAACCATGAGAGCTCCACACAGAGTGGTCCTTCAGGGAATTCTCTGGAAATCAGTCTTGGTTGATTGGGGCCAGTTAGGTCCAAGGAAATGGCCTAGCAGGAAGAAAGCAGGAGAGTAAACTGTGGTCACAGATAAGATTGATTTCCCTGTCCTAGGAGGAAGAACCCCCTGGAATATATGTATAGAAAGGGACCTAAGATGTTAGACTGATCCCTGAGGACTATTCAGGGAGATTATTGCCCATTATTGACATTAAGTTGCTCAGTGTCTCACTTCTCACCCATGACAGAGCCAAAACAGTTTCCCAATACCTATGGATTACCTGAGTCATTGTTACTAACATACTGCTGAACTGGCTTGTCTCTGGTATGGAGCTGCGTTATCTTTCTTTTTTTTTTTTTATTATGTTATGTTAATCACCATACGTTACATCATTAGTTTTTGATGTAGTGTTCCATGATTGTTTGCGTATAACACCCAGGGCTCCATGCAGTATGTGCCCTCTTTAATACCCATCACCAGGCTAACCCATCCCCCCACCCCCTCCCCTCTAGAACCCTCAGTTTGTTTTTCAGAGTCCATAGTCTCTCATGGTTCGTCTGGAGCTGCGTTATCTTTCTAAAGAGCATCATTTTCTTTGTGTCATTGCTCTACGTAAAAATCTCCTAAAGCCATGTTTTTTATCAGATTAAATTCCAGTGCTTTAGTCTGGCATTCAGAAATCTTATCAGTTTACTTACCCTTTTCCATGAATGCAAATCCTCTGCTCTGGGAAGGTTCTTACCATCTTTTCAAATATTCTGTATAAACCTAGAATGCTCATATCTTTTCCTGACATTAAAATTCATATTTTTTCTTCCTGAAACCTTATTTTTTTTAAGATTTTGTTTATTTATTTGAGAGAAAGAGAGAGAGCACAAGCAGGGGAAGCAGCAGAGGGAGAAGGTGAAGCAGATCTCCTCTGATCAGGGAGCCGATGCGGGGTCCCAATTCCAAGACCCTGGGATCATAACCTGAGCTGAAGGCAGATGCTTAACCAACTGAGCCACCCAGGCGCCCCATGAAACAATTTTATTAACCTCAATCTCTATAGTGCTTTTTATTTTTATTTACTCTAACCTGACTCATTCCTTTCTTCCATGTTTGTAGCTTTTGTCTCTCCAACTACTATTTTGTCCCTCCATATACATTGCATATTTCTTAAAGGCAGAGACTATATATTCTATCTCTTATACATGCTATTAAAAAGTAGGGAGTGAACCTTTCTTTTAGTTTTTATTTGACTACTTGTGTAATGTTTTTAAAAGTCTTAGTCTTCAGTGGGAAAAGATTAGTCATTTGCCTAGCTTTTCGTTTAATAAAGTGTAACTTAGAAATACAAAATGTAGTCTCTTTGTTGAAAGTTCTTGTGGATCGTTTTGATACGACTTCTCAAGATATTAGATATTTAAATAATTTTAATAGTTTACACATAATCTGCATTATGACCTCATAGACGTGGAAGAGACAATAAATAGAATAAGCTTGCCTTATATAATTTTTTATTATCCTAAATAATTGTTTCTAATATAAAATAATTTTTATGAAATGTTCAAAATATAATTATTATACTGTTGATAATCTTGTAAATTGCTATTAACTCCCTAGAGGCAGAGTGAAAATATATATGAAAAGGTTTTGATTGACCAATCAAATCCACTCTTAGGAATTTATCTCAAGGAACTCTTTGTACATATATGTAAATATATTCTATGCTGGTCATTTTAACATTGTTTTATAATAGTAAAATACTATGAATCACCTAAATATTCAACCATATGTAATTCATAAATTGTGCTATCGTACAAACATTTACGATGAAATTTTATACAGTTACAAAAAATGGTCTACTAGAGTATTTAGAGTATTTAGTGACATGAGAAATTAGCCCTGATATATTAATAAGTGAAAAATATCAGATTACTGAACAGTGTAGTGTAGTCCCATTTTTGCCGAAAAAAAAAACTATATAAATTTTAAAAATTCTGTCTTCTGAATTATATATAATAACTATGCATCACTTTTGTAATAAAAAAAATCCTTCTATTAAAAAATAAATTTGCTGTGGTTCAGAGAGAAAATAACAGTGAAAAATTATCCACAAAGAAAGGTCTTCAAATTAAGGAAAACAAAAGAGACTTCCTACCCCCCCCCCGCATTTATACACACTCTTCTAATTCTGTTAATCTTAACCTTAGGTAGAATTCAGAACAACCATTGGTGGTAACTGTACTATAGTGATCTAGAGTTAGCAACTTCAGTTCTAATCTAAGCGCTGCCACTAAGTGGTTTCCTTAGTGGTAGCCCAGCATATCAGGGTTTCACTTTCTTCTTTTAGAAAATCAATAGACTAGGGGCGCCTGGATGGCTTAGTCAGTTAAGCATCTGCCTTCAGCTCAGGTTGTGATCTCGGGGTCCTAGGATTGAGTCCCACATGGCGCTCCCTGCTCAGCAGGGAGCCTGCTTCTTCCTCTCCCTCTACCTGCCGCTCCCCCTGCTTGTGTTCTTTCTCTCTCTCTCTCTTTCAAATAAATACATACATACATAAAATCTTTAAAAAAAAAAACCAATAGACTATACTGAACAGAATTCTGATTAGATCAATAAGGCTATTTAGAGAGCACATAGTAGGCATTCAGCAAGAGTTAGTGTTCTTTCTAAAGAAACTATTAGCTCAGAAAATTTCATGTTTTCTGAAACTGAAACTTCAGAAGTAAATCACAGGTCCTTTAAAGTGCCAGTTTATTTATTTATCTATTTGTTTTAAGATTTTATTTATTTATTCATGAGAGACGGGGGTGGGGGGAGAGAGAGAGAGAGAAGCAGAGGGAGAAGCAGGCTCCCAAGGAGCAGGGAGCCCGATGCGGGACTCAATCCCAGGACTCTGGGATCAAGACCTTAGCCGAAGGCAGACGCTTAACCATCTGAGCCACCCAGGCTCCCTAAAGTGCCAGTTTAGAATTTTCAGGCCCTTAATGATATTTATAGTAGGATCTTTCAAACAATTCATTTTATTCACATGGGTAATTTATTTATAAAATGATTAAGTTCTCCAGAAGACAATATTTTCACACTTGGTCATTTACTCTGTTAATTCACTTTCAGCATAATTAAAAGCATTTAGCTTCTAAAAGGAGACATTATTTCACACAGTCCAAATTTATTTGCTTTCTTAACTTTAGGTTGCTATCAACCGAACAGACATTGAAGACTTAGACCTCTATGCTACGTCTCGGGAAAGGAGATTTCGTTTGTTTGCTTCTATAGAATGTGAAGGACAGTTATTCATGACTCCATATGATTTTATTTTGGCTGTTACAACTGATGAGCCCAAATGTAAGTATATTTTTTAAATTCTCTTAATAATTTTATGAGATTTTTTTTCTTATCTCTGCTTTGTAAAAGTGTGGAATAGGTTAAGTTTTCAGAACAACTAACCAAGTAATGTATTTCAAAAGACATTATGCTATATAATCTTACTAGACTAATATTTCTTATAAACTCTGATTGATATCTCTTTTCACAAACTTTCATTTATTTCCTCTTTTTCAGTTCATTGAACTTAAAAACCACCTTACTCTTGATATTCTTTATAATAGGTTCATATTCTGCCTATTCAGTTCTTCTATCCAGCATGAACAGAGTAATTCAGAGGCCTGGCTTTGAAGCTAGATCTGGGTCAAGAATTCTACCTATATTTCTTCTGTATTTGTCATGGCTCCTACAGGGCAAATACATACTGTTACTCATCTTTTCATCTGTTAGAGCAGTGGTTCTCAAACTCTTTGGCATTATGTACATTCTTGTAAATCTCTTCAGTGAGTAATAGAAGATAGCTGTAGTCTCATCTGCTTTTTTTATTCAGTAGTTGCAGTGTGTTGTTTTTCATAAAGTATATTAAGAAAATCTGCCTCACAGATAAAGAGGTAGGAAAAAGGAAGAGTATTTTAATAGCCCTTTCAGGTTATTATAAATATTCTTCTTTGATACAGTATCAACACTTGGCTAGTGGTAGTTTCTTAAAGTTTAGTTGCAGTGTGGAATTTGAAACTTTTGTCATCTGTTATGTTAAAATCCACTGGCCTACACTGCACTTTGAATGGATCTTTTACCCTTATATAATCTTGTAACATCAAATGGAAGATACTGGTTGATTCAGTTATACAGATCTTCCAAATGTTGACATATTTATCATACAATACATTTTTAAAATCACATTCAGTGATATTGTCATAATATTCTCTTTACTTATTGGAAAGCTGTCAAACTCATGGTGGTGTATACAAGTTTTCCCAAATTCTAATTTTTACTGAAAGCTCAAATGTTATTACTGGCAACAAATATTGTCAGTTGTTTTCTTTAAGTGATAGCTGACTTTGTTCATTTGTAAGAAAGTGCCTGCCAGATACCTAAGTCTAAATAACCATAATTTGTCTGTCAGTTGTTCTTTTAAGTAAAAATCATGTTCCATGAAAAAAAGTTCGGTTCACAGCTCAAAGAATCACAGTGCTTTCTCTCAAGACAGCAGTAGTACTTTGGAATGCAACAGAGTGCTTTATGCACACTTCCCATATCATCTTACAGCATATGACGACATACTCAAAGACACCTATCCAATGCCGGGTATTGCACTAGGCTCTGGAGATAAAGGGGTGAGGGAAACAAACAAAAATAGGTGCCCTTCACCCTCACAATGTTTACAGTCTGGTGGACAAAACCAACGCTGATCAATGAAGTAAATAAATAGCAAATTATATCTGTGATAAGTGCCATGAAAGAAAGATACTGAGAGCATATTTTGGAGAAGTAACTTAGGTAGCTCGGGGAGATATTCCCTGGGCAAATAAATATCCACATGAAATGTGAATTGTGAATAAGAGTTAACTAGGCTTGTAGGAAGTTGAGAGTAGAGAATTTCAGCAGGAGAAACAGCAAGTATCAAGGTGCCATCACAAGAAGGAATGTGATACATGTGAGGAGGGGAAAAAGATCTGGGTGGCTATAGTGCAAGGAGCAAAGAAGAATATGGTATGAAGTGAGGGTGGGTATGTAGGGCAGTGCCAAATCATTGAGTTGGTAAGCTTATATTAAACATTTTTGTTTTTATCCTAAAAGTAATGGAAAATCATGGCACTAGTGTAAGCTGCAGAATAATTTGGTGTGTTAGAAAACAACTCAACTGAGTAACTTTTAAAAATCCTTTTGGCTTTATTCAATGATTCATGAATCAGGCAGCATCCAGTCTAGCAGATAGTGAGGAGCTCCAAGGAGCTGTATAAAACAAAAGACTTATAGGCAGAAGGGAACAAGAATAAGAAAGTTATACGAGGCAAAAAAAGCGGGTTAGTTATTGTAAGGTTACTTTCCTTTAGAGGACAGCAGGGGTCTCTCAGGCAGATTACAAACTAGTGCTGATTGACTGAGTTAAGATTCCATTTCTGGTAGAACAGAAACTGTAATTAAGCCGTGGCTTGGTTATGTGGGTCTTAGCATAAGGAACTCCATATTGAACCTGTTGTCTTGTTTTTAACAGGTGCATACCATTATTAGATTGTGTTTTGAAAAGATCTTTCAGGGTAGACATAGATTGAAGAGGGCCAGAGTGAGCATGAGCAGATCAGAGAGGAGACTTGTCCAGGCTTGAAAAGCTTCTAATGAGGGTGGTAATGGTGCTGATGGAATAATGAGTACTAAAAACTTCTGGCTGGTTTACCTTTATGGATGGCAGTGGAGACCAGGTTTGAAGCAAAATATTATAACTTCAACTTTGGACATGATGGATTTAAGATGCCTTAGATATCCAAAAGAGGAGATATGGAAGAGGCAGTTGGATCTGGCTTTTGATCATTCATTTCAAGTCATTGAAAATCAATGTACCAAATAATCAGTTGTTTGATAATCTACTTGAAACTGCCAAAAAAATGCCTTAAGTTATGTTAGAACAAATTATAGCCCTTTTTCTTCAGAGCTAGGGATATGGCAAAACCTTAAATAAATCCTTAAGAGCTAATATATAGCATGGTTACTGTAATTGACAATACCATATTGTATAATTGAAATTTGCCGAGAGTAGATCTTAAGCATTCCTAATAGTACCCAAAAAAGTAACTATGTGAGGTGAAAAAAAAATGTGTAAAAGTTCAAAAAAAATTAAATCCTAAATAATTTGGCAAATTGGCTACTTTGAAAATTAGCTTTTAATCAATTAATATTTTATATTTTAGATTATTTCCATTGGAAATGAGGGGAGAGGACTGGGTAGAGTATATATTTAGGGTTCATCTGTATGTGATTGGTAATTAATGCAATAATTATGGATGAGATTGCCTAGGAGGCAGTATAGATGAGAACACAGATGACCAAGGACCAATCCTTGAGGAACTCCTAGACTTTAAATGGTGAAGGTACAACAGCTTCAAACATGAGCCTCAAAAGGAAAAATAGGAGTATCCAGAAACATGGGAACAAAATCAAGAGTATGGAGTCATAGAAGCCAAGGAAAATGAACAGAATGGTCAAATGAGATGTCAAGTTAGATGAGGACAGAAAAATGTCTACGAGATTTGGTAATTTGAAGGTTATTGATGATTTTTAAAATGATGTTTCAGTGTAGTGATTAGAGCAAACACCAGATTGCAAGAGCAGATGAAGAAATGAAGACAGTGAGTATAAAGGACCCTCCCAAAATGTTCGGCTGTGAAGTAGAGGAAATGAAAGATAGTAGTTGAAGGAGAGACTTTATCATACAATATTTTGTCAGGAGACTCTGAGGTTATCAACTGAAGGAGAGGGAACTATATGAACAAACACATGGGATCAAGAGAGTAAATGGCGTATTCAGAATAGTCCACTTTGGGAGTATGTAAGGTAGTAGTGATAGAAAAGGCTATAAATTGAGTAGGGCTCTTTTTTGGAGGAATTTGAGGGCTATGGTAAGGATTATATCTCTCTGTGCTCCTTTAACCTCCCTTTCCTCCCTCCCTTCTAGAAATATTTATTGAGTACTTACCATGTACCAGATAACCATATTTCGCCTTGGAATTGGTTGTTTGATACTTTTTGTCCTCTTAAAATATTTTAGGTTTCGTAAGTGTAGAGACTGTATGTAGAAAAGGCCCTTATACAAAAATAGATATATATGTGTTCCATACATTTGTTTAATTGATTTCATACAATGTGGACTTTTTATATTTATTATTAAGTTAGCACAGATTTGATAAAACTGTTGATGTATTTTTTAGAATATCAAATGGTATTTTTGCATCAAATCCTATAATTTTTGTCAAATTTATATTTGAGAAATTCAATAAATAATGCTTAATTTAGAATTTCATAGTTTGAAAATTTTTAATTTATTGTTTTCTTGAATTTTTTCTTCATAATATACCAACTGTAAGCCTGCTGGTGGCTTTTTACTCTTTGGAAATAAATTTCAAATTTGATTTTTTTCAAGGTATTACAAAACTACCACTTGCAGGAAAAAACATTCCATTATAAAAGACTTGCACAGGACATTTAACAACCAGAAATTAACTGATAAGTTAATTTCAAACTGGAACTTTTAAAACATAGTTAAGAATGATCACTAAAGATCAAGATATGTGTAAAAACTTTTTTTCAAGTGTAGGGTTACAAAAAGAAATATTTGCCTGAGAAGAGAAAATGTTTCATAGACTGAATATTAAATCATATGTATATCAATGTGGCATATTGAAATTAGACAGACTTGTATTTAAACCTGAGTATTCATTTACTAGCTTTGAGAACTTTGTTAAATTATTTATTTTTTTGTCTCCTCATTTGTAAAAATAAAAATAATAGCAACCTCATGAGGTTTTTGAAGATTGAGTAATATTGGTTGTGTTTAGTAAAATATCAGATACACGGTAAGCACTTAAGACATGTTGGTAGCTGTCATTGCCAACCATCTTCATCATCGTTTGAATTCATAATCATAATTTTTAAAAAAAATCTTTGATTTAATTTTATGGTGACATCAACAGGAAAAAATTGGTATGCTGTGTAAACATTTGCTTAATATGGTTCAAATAAATGTTAATCGAGATATATTTGTTGATTATAGCTTTGTGTTTGAAATCTAGAAAAATTCTTATTTTACCTACCTAAATAGAACCTAAAAGGTAAGTTTCCCTTCTAGAACTAAAATAATTGATTACCTTCATGTAGCTCCAAGTATTATTTTAATTTTAGTTTTAAAAAATATATTGTTAAAAATTTCAAACATACATAAAAGTATTAAAATATGATGAACATCAAGCTATAGCTGAAGAAATAAAATACATCCAATAGAATTGAAGTCCCTCTTCACCCAAGTTATATTTATATATGTAGTAACTTCATATGAAATAAGGAATTTAGAAAATCAGAAAATCCTTTGAAGAACAATCTTAATGGCTCTTTAGTCTTTATAAAAAAAGCTAATAATACTGAACATGGTGACATATCCGGCAGAATGAATATGTCTTTTGTGAATAATTTACCCTGGAAATCTCATAAACCCTACAAAACTCAAGAGTGTGTCTAACTTCCTCTTCTGATAAATAGCTTCTGAACATTGCATAAGAGCATGTGCATGTACTTTTGTGCCATTTGTTTTTCTTCTGTTCATACTGCTATATTTCAAAAGCAACAGAGTAATAAATACTATTTACAATGTTCTGTTCATTATGAAAAGGTGGATGAAATAAATGTATTAGAATTAAGGCTAAATGCTGACTTCTTTATAAACCTGTGATTTTAATCACTTGATTACACGTTTGTATAAATTATCTTGGGTAAAAAAAGGATATTGTTGCTATATAGAGAAGAAGTCAATCTCCATAAAAATCAGTTTGCTGAATTTTAGAACATACTTCTATGCTTTCGATCTTAAAGTGACTTATATTGCTTACAAAAAAGGAAGTTACATGGCAAAAACTGCCTATCTTATAGTCTTGACTTCGATATACTGTTTACAGTAACTATGGTTAATTATAAAGAAATAGCCACATTACCATGTAAAAAATTATTGGTTGTCATTATTGTAATGTAGGTGAAATAATTAATATTTACTAGCTCCTAATGCAGCTGTGTTATAAGACTTAATCACATATAAACCTGGAGATAATTCTTGGGCAGACATTGGATATTCAGAGTTTTCAAATCTGAGCAAAGGAAACAGCAATGGTGACTGAGCATTTATTCCAATATTATAAGATTTATAGTGTTTGAGATCTTCAAGGGTATGAGGAGGAATCAGAAAAAGAAAGTGATCTCAGGTAATTTATTCAACTATAATACTCTTGTTCTAGAAATAATTCTTAAAAACAGGGAAAGAATGGAGAACAGGATGAGGGTCTCCCTATCGTGTTACCTGCTTCCATCTTCATCTCCTTTTCTCATTGCCCCCATCCTTCCCCTTCACCCTAGAGAGACCTGGCATTTGAATTATGACTAGAGATAAAGCAGAGATCATAGGCAGCACCTTAAAATTATAATTTCTCTATGTTCATATTTTATGTTCTAGTATGAATATTTAATAAATATCAGTATTTGTGTTTTTAAGCCCATAGGATGTTTAACATGGAGTAAGTTAACTTTATAAATCCAGAAATCCCCAAAGTAAGATGATTATGGAAAATATGTTTCCTATTCTACTGCTATCACTTATTATAACTAGTGTATAGTACATGAAACAAATACATAACATAAATAAAACCTATACCTTAGATCCACATCTCAAAGCTAAAAAATACTTTGTCTTTTAGATATAGAAGCTTGGTGTTATGAGTTAGGGTTACAGATGGTTACTGAATTCAGATGTACATTACATGAAGTATTTATTATCTAATTCTTTTATATTTGTTTATTACAGTTGTTAAAACGTGGAAGTCACTTACCAAACAGGTAGGTTGAAGCTCTTGGTGTACATATGCATGCACACTATATATATATATGCATACCCACTTTGGAAAATAGTTTGGCATCATCTATAAAATTTAAAGATACACATACCCTGTACCTACCAGTTCTCTTGGATCTCAATTCTGCCACAGTGCATATATGTATACCTAGGAAAGTTAAACTTGAATATGCCCTATGATCCAATAATTTTACACTAGTCTCTATACCTAGAGAAACTCGTACATGCATGAGAGGTTCACAGGAATGTTATTAGATTATTCATGGTTGGCCAGAAAGACTACAATACAATGTCAATAAGATAAATAAGTTTTTATATATTCATACAGTGAATAGTATAGCAAGTGAAAACAAATGAATTATACTGGTGCTTAAACTAGATGAATCTGGGAAACATAACGACAAGCAGTTCACAAAAATATAAATTAGAGTTCCGTTTACATAAAGTCTAAAAAGAAACCACTTAAGGATGCATTCATAGGTGGGAAAACTAAGGAATGATAAATATTAAATTCAAGACAATATTTACCTCTGGGAGAGATGGAAGGAAATATCATCAGTGAGAAGTGCAAAGAGGCTTCTAAAGTACTGGTAATTTTCTGTTTCTTAACAATTTCTAACTTTAAATTTTACATATATTCCTTTTGTACTTTTAAATGTATGATAAACTTCAATTAAAAAAAAACATATTAGTATAGCATTCTAGGGAACTTCCTTAACCAGTTATAGCGAATCTTCCAAAGCCTGTAGCAAGCATGATGTTTACATATAAACCTTTAGACATTCTCTTTCAAATTAGATAGAATACAGATATGTCTCCTATCACAACCACTACTCACTGTTTTATTACAGGTCTAAGCTAAGGTAGTATTTTAATTTGCTAGGACTGCTGTAACAAATACCAAAGTTGGGTGGCTTAAGCAACAGAAATTTATTTTCTCACAGTTCTGGAGGCTGGAAGTTCAAGATCAAGGTGTTGGCAGGGTGGGTTTCTTCTGAGGCCTCCCTCCTTGGCTTGTAGATGTCTGTCTTCTCCCTCTGTCATCTCCCCATCATTGTTCTGTGCGTGTCTGTATCCTGATGTCTTCTTATAAGGACACCAGTCATATTGGATTAGGACCAACTATAATGACCTTGTTTAATAATCTTAATTACCTTTGTAAAGGCCGTCTCTAAATACAGTCACATTCAGGATACTGAGAATTATGACTTCAAATTTGAGGTAGACATAACTCAGGCTATAACATGTAGTATGACAAGAAAAAATAGGTTCTAAGGAGCAGGACGGTAACAAACAATATGATTGAGAGAAAAATATAAAAATGCATAGATTTCAAATTCAGATTTAGTAAAAGTTTAGCAAGGTTGCTGCTAGTGTTTCTGCACCAGCAATAGCAATTAGAAACTGCACTATCAAATAAGATACTTTTCACAATAGCAACAAAAACTATTCGATTCTTAGTGTACTTAACAGAAGATGTGCAAGATATTCTATTTTTAAGAGATATGAGTAAGCAGAGAAATATATCATGTTCACAGATGATTCATTTAGAAGAGTAAGGGCCCAGAATTTTCCAAACAATTCTGAGAAGGAAGGAAGGAAAGCAAACAGACAAACAATAGGATGAGAACAATTGGGCCTGTCTCATATTAAGATTAATAATAGAACTATAATTAAAATAGTATTATATTATTGCAAGAATTTTTTAATTAGATGAAAATAATAGAATATAGAGTCTAGAAACAGACCGAGGCATGTATGGGAAGATCTGTAAATCCCTGGAGGAAGGATTGACCTTTAGGTATTGGAACAATAGTCTTTCCAGAATGGGGCTAAATACAATTAAATATCAAACTGACCACCATATACAAAAGCAAATTTCAGATGGATTAAGTTCTTACTTTGACAAACAAAAAATTCTGAAATATTAGAAGTAAAATAAAGGACACAAGAGGTTTCATTAGATGAGACACATAAAACAAAGTTCAAAGGAAATTTTGGAAAATTTTACTAAATTAAATATCAGAAACTTTGGCATACCAAAAGAGTGCCAACAATGTTAAAAGAAGTATGACAGATGGGAAAATATGCTTCAATATATTAACAAAACATTAAGTGTACTGTACTCATTTAGAACTCCTGTAAGTCAATATAAAAAAGATAATCAGCTCAGTAAGAAAAAAAAGGGTAAACATAGAATGGCTGATAAACATATATAAAGGACCTCAACCTCACTAGTGATTAGGGATATGCAAATTAAACCAATAATATAATACTATTTCACACCCATCAGATTATCAGCTTCCGGAAATCTAGCAGTATCAATAATTAGCAATGAAGAAGAAAGAATCAGGTGAGGGTGTAAATTTGTATATTCACTTTTGAGAGAAATTTGGCAAATGTAATAAAGTTGAAAGTACATACCAAAAACTCTACTTTTAGAGAAGTATACTAGAGAAATATTACACCAGCAGTCCTGTGCACGTTTTCTGCAGCATCGATTGTAATAGCCAAAATTAAAAAAAAGAAACAATATAAATGTCAGTCAGTTGAGAAATGAATAAAAAAATTGTGAAATAGGCATTCAAAGACAAATACAATAATACAGAACCACAGTGAAAAAATACATCCAAGTTATGAATGGACCTAGAAGACTGAAAGTTGAGTAACAGCAAGTTGCAGAATAATATACACTGGCTGTTCTTAAAGTGCAAACACCTTTTCAGGGGTCCATGAAGTCAAAACTATTTTTATAATAACACCGAAAAGATAATTTGTTTTATTACTTGCATTCTCTCACAAGTGTATAGTAGGGTTTTGTAGAGGCTACAGGATGATTGGTGATGCCATCAATCTGACATCTAATAGAATATGTGCTTGTGTATTTTTGTGTTTAAAAATTTATCATTTCTACTTCCACATGCATTAAATATTGATAGATATCCACATAAACAAGATCTCCTTGGGGTCCATAATAATTTTTAAGAGTATAAAGAATTACATTTCAGAACTGCTAATGTAGAACTGCTGTGTAGCCATTAAAATGCAATGAAGAATATCTGGCAGGAAAATATGCCCATGAAGTATTAAGTGCAAAGAGTAAGTTACAAAACAATATGTAGAAAATAATTTAATATTTGCTGCAATGACAAAAAAGCTAGATAATTAGGCCTAGAAAGAATTAGACTAAAAGGATTTAAATAAAACTTTCAATTATGGTTCATTCCTGGATTGCAATTAGTTTTTATTTTCTATATTTGCTAATTTTCCTATAATGCATATAAATTAACTATATAATAAGACAAAATTGTACTTATTTAAGAAAATTATATAAATCTTTTACAAGGCACTATAATTCTAGGAAAATGAATTTGATACAGCAAATATCTATTTAATACCAACTTGCAATAAGCGATAAAACCAGATTTAGTGTCAGACTCCACTGATTTAAGGGCACAGTCCCCAACAGACTGCCCTTATTTCAGATACCAGCTGCAAGATCAAGTGTCCCCAGGCCCCCCACACCTCTGACCAACTGGCTACAAATCCAAGAGGCTCCCATAATTCCCCTTGAGGTTCAATAATTTGCTAGACTGATTTAGAACTCAGACACATTCTGTATTTATAAGTAACAGTTTATAATTATTTTAAGAGACACAAATCAGGACTAGCCATATGAAGAGACTCCGAGGAAAGGTATAGGAAGATCCCAAACACAGACCTTACATGCCTTCTTCCCGTGGAGAGGTGTGTCACCCCTCCTGGCACACCAATATATTTACCAGTGGCAATGTCCACTGAGCTTGGGTGTTGAGTTGTTATTAAGGGTTTCATTATGTAGGTATAATTGATTCATTGGCCCAGTGATTGAACTCAATCTCCAGTCCCTTTCCCTACCCCTCCCCAGAGGTAGGGAGAGCTCAGAGCCCCAACCTTCTAATCCCATGCTGGTTCTTTCTGGCTATCAGTAACCCATCCAGGGTCATCCTGTAACCAAGTGTGATTCAAGGATATAGCATATTCCAGGAACCAGGGGCAAAGGCCAACCAAAGTATTTATTATTTTTTTTAAAGATTTTTTATTTATTTGAGAGAGAAAGAGAGAGATAGCGAGAGAGAGCACAAGCAAGGAGGAGAGGGAGAAGCAGGTTCCCTGCTAGCAGGGAGTCCAATGTGGGGCTCAATCCCAGGACCCTGGGATCATGACCTGAGCCGAAGGCAGACACTTAATTGACTGAGCCACCCAGATGCCCCAAATTATTTATTATTATAACACTACTACATGTAAGAGACCAAGATCTAGGCACTGGGAATGGGGAGAGAGATTCCCAGTCTGAACGGAAATACAGATTTTAATACGTTTTAAAACTTCTTAAAGTGAACCGAAGACAAAAATCAGTGTGTTAATTAGATAATCCAGAAGAAGCTGAATTACTACTAAAATAAACTGCTTAGTCAGTAAGGATCTGGTCAGTCATTTAGTAGTTGTGTGACCTTGGGTAAGTTCTTATCCTCTTTAAGTCTCAGTAAAATATGCACAATGAGGATTGTTAATTAAAATTAAATGAGAGATTATATATTGTCAGGCACATAGAGGGCACTCAATAAAAGGTAGCTATGATTTTTTTTTTTTTTTGGTTGTAAACTCTAGCTGAGTTCAAGCTAGAAGAGATGAAATTGAATACATGGAAATAGTTAAAATGGAGAAAGAGAAGTTGATATTTATATGACAGATATGGTATACATTAAGGTATATCAAATATCTGCAAAATGTTCTTTTTAATCTCTTGCTCTAACAAAAATATTTATGAGTTTATTGTTGTTTAAGCAGTAAATATTCCAGCTTCTCATCGTTATTCAAGCCCGAATTCTTACCCTGTGCCATTGCTACTCTAATCAGACACTGTTGGCCGTCTGGTGGCATCTGTTACTTGCAGTGCAGAGATAGATAGCACTATGAAGGGGATGAAAGCGGGGTTCACAGTGGGCTGCAGGGAATCCATAAATCCCCTAAAAATACCTCTGCTGCCTTTGGCATCCCAGGGTTTCTTTATTTGCGTGTCAGCTCAGCTTTGTAATGAAAAAAAAAAAAAAGCAGTTTATAATGTTACAGAACATTTTTAGGTACAACCACATCAGGAAGGGTTTGTCTAAAAGTGCTTCTCAAACTGGAACGTGGGGAAACAAAATCGCCCGGAGTTCTTGTTAAAAATACACATTCTGGTTCAGTAGATCTGGCTTAGGAACTGAAATTCTGCTTTTTGAACAAGCTCACAGGTTATGCCTAGGCTATTGGGGAACCACATGTTGAGTAGAAGAATCAGGTCTGGAAATAGAAGTGGTTTCTAGTGTTTTTCAGTGTTACTTAGCAAACCACCTTTTTTATTTCAAATTATTTCAGTTTATCTCATCAAATCCTTTAATAATTTTTCTTTACAATTAACCAAAATATAATTTTCATTTAATTATTTTGAACTCAGTATGCATAATAAATTCAAAATTCCTTTAGTATCTGAACAATGATTCAAATGTTTAAATTTTCCAAAATAGTTCCCCAACCTGCTGTGGTAGTTTGATTTAGAAACAAACAAAAAAGGCTGACTAAGCAATTGAAGTCTGTGTTCTTTACTGAATATGTAAGTTAAAATTAGAAAGAAAAAAAAAAAGGAAACAGTGGTCATAATCTCAATACCCCTGAACTCCATCTGACATCAGCACTCTTTGAGTCACTACTAAAATATTCTTCATTCTTTCCCATTTTGATCCTCTGTCCATTTACGTCCTCCACAAAACTCCCTAAATCCAAGAAGGCTACAGAAAAGAGACAGTATGTGGAGCCAGGACATCATCTCTGACCTTGATTAGGAAATCCACCTTTACTTAACCACTTTCATGAAACTATCATTTTCTAACTGGTTCCTGAACTTAAACTCACTGTTTTATCTTAACCTGATTATTTTATACATATTCCTCCACTTGCTAAATTTATCTGAAATTTTTGGTAGCTCTAATTGAATTCAACGTAGCTTCTTTATGATTTATTTTATATTTAGACTGTGGGCAAATATTGGGTTTTGTGGTTGAACGAACCACAGGTATAGAAGAGAATAAATACAGCCATGTCTCAGGTCTTTTAAGTGGAGAATTTTTTTGTATAACGCATTTAAATATTTTATATCTATTTTATAAGTAAGTGGTTTACCTATTAATCAATGTTATGATACCTTATGTTATAGGAATTAAATCAAATGCTCTCAGAAACACCACCAGTTTGGAAAGGATCATCAAAGCTTTTTCGTAATCTTAAAGAAAGAGGTAAGTTAACTTTAGTACTTATGCATTTTAAAATGGACACTATATTATTCATACTCTTTATATATATTTTTCCTTATACTTAAAATAATATAACAAGTTAATTATATGTGCAGATGTGTGTGTGCGTAGAGAAAAAACTGAGAAGAAAAACACCAAAATATTAATGATTGTTTCTGGGTAGCGGGATTAAAGGTGTTTCTTATTTTTAAATATATATTTTTTTAAATTTTTTATTGTTATGTTAATCATCATATATTACATCATTAGTTTTTATTTTTTTTAAATATATTATTCATGTCTTTCAAATTTTTTAGAAGAAAGTGAACTTTTATGGCTATAAAAAATTATTTTCCAACCATATTGAGTAGTGAGGGTTATATTTAATTATAGAAAGCATTTTTCAAAAATACTGATCTCCAACTATTTTTCTTCCTTCCATTTTACTTCCAGGAGATTATAGATTTTTAAAAATTTAATAATCACTGTGAAGAACTTATTGGATATGTCTTTTGGTCACCCAGTTTGAACATGTTTCTTTTAAAAACAACACTCATTGCAAAAGCCGCCTTTCAACCTACTATATGATCTATATCTATGTATCTAAGCTAAGTTGTTAATTCATACATTTCCTCGCAATCAAATTATATAGCTTTTATTGCCGTTTTCTTTTACACTTTACTTTTTGTACATATTTATAGAAAAGACTAATTAATAAAATCTCTTTAATCTTAAAAAGGAATTTTTCTTGTAAATATACTTTTTTATTTTTTCAAATATAAGAGTATACGAAATAAAAATATTAAAGAAATTGTATAAACAGTTACCTTTTTCATTCATCAATTTTAACAGATATTGATTTGAAAATAATTATACTCTAGCATGAAGACAAATATTTTAAAGGATAATTGTAATCCATGTATTTTATCTGAGTGGAATTAGAAATTCAAATTGCTTCCACCTGGTTCACATGGAATCTGAAAGGGGTAGACACCTTACCTTTCATCGTAGTCTTTTCATAATTAGGGTTTTAAAATCTTTGCGAAATCGGGGCCATGGTATATTTAAAGCTGTTAGAAATTTTTTCTTGGAAATTGTCTTAAAGATTGTCATTCAAATCTTAGGGTGGGATGATAGGATCAGGAAAAATCAAAGCTCAAAAAGATAAGTTAGCAAATATAAAAATATTTACTTTTAATACCTCTCATGGGAAAATACAAATTGGATCGAGTATAATCTGAGAAAACCAAATGCATAGAAAAAGGAAATTCTTTGTAGTCATAGAAGGGGTTGAATCTGGAAGCCCTGGGTTTAAGCTTGTCCTAATCTTTATGTTACATGAATATTTGCATGTTTTTTGGGGGAAATGATCTATTCAGTGCTATCCCAGAGAATTATCTATAGTGATGGAAATGTTCTATTTCTGTTGTCTCCCATAGTAGCTACTAGCCAGATGTGGGCTTTTAAAAAGCACCTGAAATGTGGCTACTGTAACAGAGGAACTGAATTCTTTATTGTATTTAATTTTATTTATTTTAAATTTAAGTAGCCACATGTGACCAATGGCTACCCTGTAGGATAGTGCAGAGCTGTGTCATGGTGATTGGATTATCGAAGGAATCCATGTACACAAAAAGTTTTAGAACCATTAGGTTAGGCGAAGTAGAATGTCACAGAGAGCCTTGCTTTTTTATAAATAGGTTTAAGTGGCAAAGGAATTTTAAAGCTAAATCTTGAGAGCTATTGGAGATTAATTTACAATTGCATTTTATCTGCTTAAAGTATTACCCCCGCAAGAAAATGTTATGCAGTTTTACAAAAAATTAATTGATATGCAACATTTATGAAAACATGTGTTTCAGACTTAGTTATAACAGCCAACTGTGTAATGTATCATGATATAGGAACTAAACAGTATAATGTTTTTAAGGAACTTCCCTTAGAACTCTTTTATTGAATTTTCAAAAGAAACGTAGTTGACATCTTTCTTACCCTTTTTTTTTATATGCTTAGCATATGTATCTTTATTTTATTTTTTTGATCTTGGGTGGCCTTAAAATAAATTAAAAGGTGAGTCTAATAGTTTTCCATTTTTGTAATTGGAAAGCATTAAGAATCTACAGTTCATGTTGAGTAGTATTTTCTCTTTTCCTTGATCATTTTTATTAAATTATATCATAAATTTCACTTTGTTCTTGTTTGTGGATTACACCACCTCAAAAACCATTTGGTCCTACAAACAAGTACCTACCATGATAATTATGATTAGTACTCTCACTGCTAATTGTTCACTGAGGGAAATCTTGAGTTAATTATCAAATAAAAGATACAGTTATTAAACTTCTTTATATCAACCAACATCTCTTGTGTGTTCCACCAGGTCAATTAGAACAACAGTCAGTGATGATGGGATTGTAGAGACAGAGAATCCATTTCCCAATCCCATTCCCCTTTTTTCTTTCTTTTTTTCTTTTTCTTTCTTTCTCTTTCTTTCTTTCCTTTCTCTTTCTTTCTTTCTTTCTTTTTCTTTTTTCTTCTTTCTTTTTTTCTTTCTTTCTCTCTCTCTCTCTCTCTCTTTTTCTTTCTCTCTCTTTCTTTCTATGAGGGATCCCTATGGAATCTATGTATTGTATCTTTTATATACATTGACCATTCCAGAATCTTTCTCCCATAACATTCATGGCAGTCAACCAGAACTATCTGTCTATAGGTCACAATATTGTAGTATAAACAAAAGAAGGGAATGCTTTCAGGGCCTCCAGCTAGTTCCCTTCAAGTTTTCTGACAAACTGCCTGACAGTGACTTCTCTTCTCTTTGTTCTGTAACAAAGAGCGGAGCCTCAAAGAACATCAGGTAAAATGGACTTTCAAGGTTCACAATCTGATTATTTAAGGATTTTTGTATACGCTTTTACTAAACGTTAGGACTATCTGATATCTGGAGAAGTGTTACTGACTTATTCCTGATTTTAATTTTCTCAGGATCCACCTAGAAGCTCAATTAAGCGTTAGTTCTAGTTTGGGGTGTTATGTCCAAAAGCAAGAATTTGAGTAACAGAATATATATTTGTATTTACCTTTTAAACTTTGTAATACTAGGATTACAGAGAACTCGGGATGCAATATTCAGAAAGTGGAAGCCATGTAATTAAGACAAAAACTTCTTAGAGTACATTTAATAGAACCCTTAACTTTGTCAAAAATAATAATGATAACTTGAAAGCAGAAAAGTGATACAGAGTTTTGTTTTTTAATGCGATTACAGAAATCATATTTGTAAGCAGGAATATCTAAATGTTTTTTTCAAGAGTTACTGGTTATTTTTTTCAAGAGTTATTAAGTAATTAAGCACTTTACAGTTTAACCATTTCCAACCTTTTTATTTTGTTAGTTCATCCATTGAAAACTAGCAACAAGTTTAAAGTTACAGTTATAAATAAACAATATAATTTTGCTTTCTTGGCCAATATATCTAGGAGTATTAATGGGAATTTTGCATGAGTTTCTACGGAAGCATTGTGAAACAAATTAAAATTAATTTTGTTGCTTCTTTTGCCGTGATTTTTAATAGTTTAGTCTTGTTTAAAACAATACTTAGCATGTTCTTTAAAACAGTAAGTTCCTTATTAATATAACTTAATACTGTAAGAATAATATTTTGCTTGATAAAGTAATATTTTATATATAACATGACTAATACTATTTTTCTTCTAGGTGTGATTTCTTACACAGAATATCTTTTTCTTTTATGTATTTTAACAAGTAAGTGTACTCATTGAGTCTACTTTTGGATACAGTTTTGTTTTTAAATAAGAATCTTGGAAAACAAATCTTAGATTCTCTTACTATTGAAAATCACTTTAGGTTTATCTATGGTTATTTTGCAAAATTCATGTCTAAATGTTATCAGCAAATAGCACTATCAAGAGTCAAAGACATAAATGTTTTTATGGCATATGGTATAGGAATAAAATGCTCATAAATTATAAATTTTATATCATACATCATTCCTTTTGGTTTACATGAAAGCCTAAAAGGCAGGTCATGTAGGGATTTGTAAACTTCCTGCTACACTCATTGAAATCTTAAGTTTCTTAAGACTAGGGTGAAAGAATGAGTCTTCTAACTGTGAGTGTATCAGAATACCCATTATACATACTAAAACAGCTTTGTTATTCTCTGCCTCTCATATGCAGCAATTTTTATGAAATATAAGAAGGGCTTACTAATGATTTCAGTTAAATTTCATTGTATTTAATGCAGGAACTTACCTGCTATTGTTCACTGTGCTCCAGCCACCTGGCTTTTCTGTTCCTTGAATTCTCACCTCAGGAATTTGTACTTTCTGCTCCCTCTGCCATCAGTGCTTTTTCCTCAAGATCCTCATGATAATAAACATTATTCAGGTTTCGTTTGAATGTGAAATGTGAACCCTTCTTGACTATCCTCCCTAAAATAGCTCCCTCTCTTACCTCTCCCTTTTTATCCCTTTACCATGTTTTATTTTCTTCATAACACTTAAAACTACTTGAAAGTATTTGTTTATTGGTTTATATGTTTTTGTCTGTCTCCCCATACTTGAATGCACGGTCCATGATGGCAAAGATTTTCTCTTTTTTTGTCCATTTCTGGGCAGTGTCTAGCACATGGTGGCCTCTCAAAAACTAGTTGGTGAATGAATGAAAAAAAAGAATAAATGAAAGAATATTGCTAGAGGGATTTCTGTTTGTGGGGATTTGTGGAGATGTCTGGAAATATGAATTATCCGTGAAACTCTGTCATTAGAAACAAATGAAAAATTCCTTGTACTTCTATGATTAGAAAAGTCGGAGCCATTATGTTATTCTGAATTTAGTAATGAATGATGTTATGTTGGAGTTCTGCCGCAGGAAGTTTGGGGGATGTACATGTGTGCATGTGAATTTCGAAAATTATCATCCTTTATATTTTCTTGTATTTTTTTTCCTCCTGGACTCGAAATTAAAATGTTGGTGCTGAAGAACAAGAAATGTTGTGCAGTTAGTAATACAACTATCTGAGGTTGTTCCACGCTGGAAGCCATTATGATTCAAGTCTAGTCAATGATGAATACTCCATGAAAATTAGAGGAGTACCAAGGAGTTCTCAGAGACTTGTGAAAAAGTTATATTGTTAGCTATAGAACAACTTTGGTTGCAAAACTGTTAAGTCTGAAATACCTAAACCAGCAGAGTGACAGGCAAGAATATAATAGAACTGGTTAGGAAAGCCACTTGTTGAGATGGGACAGGGTATGGATAAGAGTGTCGGAAAACATATGGTGGTTTTGCTTACATGGAAAGGTTAGGATCTTTGGATGTAGTGAATCTTCCTTTGGAGTTCAGAACCTATTTTAGAAACTTCTGGGAATTTGAATTGAAAACTTTTGGTTGTTTTTTAGATTAGAACCAAGAGAAATGTGAAAACAGAGCTGGCAGAAAGTGGGCTAGAGAATTCACCTTACCTGTCTATGATTCTTTCCTCTTTGCTATTTATTATTTTAACTTCATTTTCCCTTCCAAACAGTGAGGACTTCTTTTCATTGTGTATTTTCAAGATCATTTTAAAGCTTAAAACTTGGTTATTAGAGATAATGAAATGTTTTATTTCTTTCTCAACTGAATGCTAATGAAAGTAAGTTTCAATTCCTAAACTATATGCCAGAAATGAGCTTGCATATAAGACTGGCTTCTGTTTCCATTTTCAGAGACAGCTATTACCAGTTAAGAAAGTAAGATTACATGCTTCTCCTTTGCTAGTTCCAAGATTTTACAACAGGTAATGCCAAATAGATCTGTGGAAGGCCCCTTTTAAAAACTTTTTGCCGGTCATCTCAAAAGAAAGGGTCAGAGGGACGCCTAGGTGGATCAGTCCGTTAAGCTACTGACCCTTGGTTTTGGCTCAGGTCATGATCTCAGGGTCTTGAGATCCAGCCCCACATCAGTCTCTGTGTTCAACGTGGAGTCAGCTTGAGATTCTCCCTCTCGCTTCCCCTCTGCCACTCCACCCCTCACGCGACTGCGTGCGCGTGTGTGTGTGCGCGCGCGCGCGCATATGTATGCTCTCTCTCTCTCAAATAAATGAATGGATGAAATCTTAAAAAAAGAAAGGGTCAGATGTTTCACAAAGGCATGTGCACTGAGCTTCTCTTTGAAGGATATGTAAGTTTTCTTCTGTTGAGGTTTTCTTCTTTATGCTTTAGAAGGGATAAAGGGATTGAACCTCATTATAAGGTTCATAAAATTAAATAGTTCTTAGTGTTTAAAAGTGTGTCTTTCTCTAAAAAACAATTGTTCCTTGTATTTTGGGGAAATTGAGAATTATTCAAGCCTCTTTTATTTTATATTTCTGCTTTTGAAGCTTCTGAAAGTTTAAACCCAATATGTAATCTCTTGTGCTTGACATTTATTTTCATAGGTCATTTCCATTCTGATTTTCCTAAGAATCAGGATTGGTCCATTGTGTCATATTTTTTTTTCTTTTGTTCTAAATATTGAACATATGTGATGATTTGCTATTTCCCTTTTAAACTGACAAACTTGGGATAACAAAAAGAAGTATTTATTTTTGGAAGTTAAGGTAGTTAAATTATACTGCCTGTGCTGCACAGCAGGTATCAGACAAATACTTTTAAAGTGTATTACCAGTTTTGTTGCTAAGAGTGCTAATACATGAAACAGAAAGATGTATACATATATAGCTTTTATTATATTTCATTAATAGTAAACTGCTGCTTTTAATTTCTTGGTGAAAGAAAGTATTTTTGTACAGAGTATACTTAACTGTTTACAACTGCACTTTAAAAACATTTTTCCATTTCACAAGTACTTTTCTGTTCTTTCTGGCAGAGCCACATGCAGGTTTTAGAATAGCTTTCAACATGTTTGACACTGATGGCAATGAGATGGTGGATAAAAAGGAGTTTTTGGTGGTATGTATATTATATGTTGCATTTTATTAATAAATATTGCTTATTTACATCCTTATGTTTTTGCATTATTTGGAATAACGTAGAAGGAAGAGTGAAAAATTTACGCTTTCACCTTAATTTAATAAAGAAGTATAGCGTCGTGTACTTTAAATAATTTTTATATTATAAAAATATAAATTGTAGGGGCGCCGGAGTGGCTCAGTCGTTAAGCATGTGCCTTCGGCTCAGGTCATGATCCCAGGGTCCTGGGATCGAGCCCCACATCGGGCTCCCTGCTCCACGGGAAGCCTGCTTCTCCCTCTCCCACTCCCCCTGCTTGTGTTCCCTCTCTCGCTGTGTCTCTCTCTGTCAAATAAATAAATAAAATCTTTAAAAAAAAATATATATATATATATATATAAATTGTATTCATTATATAAAGATGATTATAGTTGTTTACATGTTTTCTGAACATTTGAAATGAATCAGATATTTTCCACTGGGTGGATAACAGGCAGTTCAGAGGTGTGGTATTTGCTCAGTTATGCTCAGACCCCATGGTATCAGCCCCCCAGCCACAGCTCTTTACCACCGGAACTTCCCTTCCTTCTCATGATAGGACCTGTGATTTTTCTTTCTGCTTTTCTCTTCCACTCATGACTGCCTTATATTACAGTCTTGTCCCCATTTTGCTATTCCTTTCTCTTGTCTTTGAACAAGGGCTGATCTAAAATGGGGAGAATAAGATTGTTCTTAGGTATCTGCCTTCAGTCTTTCTCACCTGACTGATGCAGCTTGGTGCTGGTTTGGCAACATCAGCTGCTCACTCATCTTGTCACTCCCCCTTCCAGAATTTTCCTATTTCTTTTTACCCATGGATCCTGCATCTGCTTCGGTGGCAAAATGCCTATTCTATTTTTTTTCTCCAAAGTAGAGATGCTTACAGTAACAAGTTCTACGCTTAACATTTATGTTCAATTCTGTATTTACCTATATTTCCTAGCTAAAAGAAAAGGAAGAGATGGCATATAAATAGCCATTTTATTTTCTATTTTCTTTTGTAACAAGCCATTAAAAATCCCTCAAAAAACCTCTTAAACAGCTTAATATTTTCCTCAGAGGCTGGAACATGGAAGAGAAACCATGAAATTATTCTTTTCTGTGGTAGAAAAAGGAAGAGATAAAAATCCTTGTCATAATCGGTAGCCATTCAAAAGGAAGCAAGCAGACTAATTACTGGGATCTATCAGATGACTTACTCTAACACCCATGTAGCCCTTGCCTGGGGACAGTCCCTGAGCCACACCATTGGGACCTGGAACTGTGAAGGACCCCTCATTCGAGTGCTTTTCAGGATGGTGGGGAGGTGAGAGTTTTCAGTTTCACTGCAAAGATAGACATATGTTCCTAACACCCTAAAATAAACAGATTTAGTTTAATACAGTTTTGTTATGAGAGCATAAAACTGTATTTTAGGACTTTCAGAATGGGCCTAGTATTCTAAATAATTTTTAATAAATTTTCTGTGGCAACACTGCCAAGTTCTACCCCATTGACTAAAAGAGTACCTTTAGGAACTCAGTGCATTGAAAGGTGTCTCTATAGATGTCCTTTGGAATATTGTCTGTTGGTGGGGATGAGAGGTAAAAACGTCCACGTACAACTTGTTTCCCTTCTCTACTCTTTGCTGCGGTTTACTCTTTGCAGTGGCTGTCCTGCTGCCTCATAAGTGATGTTTTTTGTTTGTTGTTTTTATTTGTTTGTAAACAGCAAAGAATTCCTGAAAGCAGGAGGTAGAGTTAAGCTGACTTCCTTGTAGAGGTCTAAAACCTATGATTCTCCTGCCTACTTAAAAAATGATTATTAATAACCCTTGCTAAAAACTCTTTTCACTAAGAAAAAGTGTGAAAATAAATGTATTGGTTAAAAAATCATTCAGATTCTGTACTGTATTTGTGTTATCACATATCTTGGGAGGTGATACGTTTTATTTGACTTTCAACTATTGCCGTACAAAATGAAATGAGTTAAGATAGCTGTTCCAGTTACAAAGCCACGAACATTGACCTTCCCAGAAAGCTGTGATAGAGGTAGGACTAGGCTTCCATTTGTAAAATAGGATTTTAAAGAGGTAATGATACTACTGATAATAGAGCTGACATCTCTTGAGAGGTTACTATGTGACAGGCAATGTGCTAAGTAACTGTCTGTAATATTTCCTTTGCACAGCATTCTTACAAGACCTGGTGATTGTACCTCAATGTAGCTGGAGGAAAAAAAACATATTCCTCTAAAGTAAGGAATTATCTACACATTCTGGAAATGGAAAACAATCCCTCGAATAATTAGAGTAACTTGCCCAAGGGGTTGTACACAGAGCCCATGCTTCCCCCACAATGTACAGATACCTGAAAGGGACTTTAGGGGGCGTCCTCATTTCATATATGAGTAAAGTGGAGCCTCGTGAGGGATATGTGACCTGTCCACCATCACAAAATTAGTATGTGACAGAAGATGGGCTCACACCCAGAGTCCCTGAATTCTATTCCAGTGTTATTTCTACCCCAGTAGGCTTCATCTCTTTTATTTGTGTGTCACAAACTCCCTGTCTTTATGTCTTAGAGATAAAGTAAAGCTATAATTTTGTACATTTAACTGAACCACAGGCTGCCGATAGCAAAGGGTGTGTTTTCTTTTTCTCAGGAAAAAAAATTGGTGTCAGAAAATGTATCTATAGTAGTTTTAATGTTCTTGGTAGATGAAGCTAATTCTTTGTTTTTAGAATATACCTAGCACAGAGTGGTAACTAGGTACCCAGAAACTCACTGGGTATTTGATTCTTGATCACTTTCTCTTTCAGCTTCAAGAGATATTCAGGAAAAAAAATGAAAAGAGAGAAACAAAAGGAGATGAAGAAAAGCGTGCAATGCTGGTAAGAATAATTTATAGTAGTTTAAGGTGGGTTTTCTAGCTGAGAATTATTTTATTCATGTTGAAAAACAATAATTAAAGTCTGTAACTGTGGAGCTGTCCCTTTTGGGAAAACTTTCTAAAGCTCTTACGTAGAAAATTTGCTTCAGATTTATATGCATCTCTATCAATATTATATCAAATATTGATATTAAACATGTGTGTCCATAATCCCACTCATTATATCATTTTCATCCATATTGTTGTTATCCATGAGATTTGAAGGGTATATCATATAATAGATGAATACAGATCATTATGCATGAAAAAATTTAAAGGTGAATTGCAAAGATTTAATTATACATGTAAGTGAATTTAGTGGCACTATAGCCATATGAATGTCGAAACAAAAGGAATAATATGTTTTTTTGAATTCTTAGAAATATAGGCTCTTCTTGGATGACTAATGTTTTCAACTTATTCTGAAGGTAGAGTTAAGGAACATTTCCCTCCATTTTCCTACCAGTGTCCTTTTTGTTTATCCCACATATTTCAGTCTGACAGTATCCCAGGTTCGTATAATAAAAATAACAAACATGTTCTGAGATCTTACTATCAGGGACTGTAGTAGATGCTTTGCATGCATTTTCTCATTTAATCTGCTAATAGTTCTCTTATTATGTGTAATTATGTCAAAGCCAAGATTGGAGTCCATGGCTGGGCAGCTCCCAAACTGTACTTTTACCCACTATAGCATATTTTTTCATCTGGTACTTAGCAGAAACAGTTTTGTTGAGATGTAAATGATAACTCTTTCCTTTGCAAATTAGTGACCCTGTGCAGTAGTTTAGTTGGTCTACCTGGAATTCAAATAACTAACCTCAGGGAGTTGCAACTTTTTTTTATGATTTTCCTTATTATAAGGATATGTATTATGTTTTTTAAAAACATGGATTATCTATAGCAGATGGTACCATATTCAATCCCAATAGATTAAGTGTATATTTGTATTTATATTTATATTAATAAAATCAGTTTACCAGGATATGAAATACCTATTATTTCATAGTATATTTGACTATAATTATCAATATTTGTTGAACCACCCTCAGTATTCTAATTGACAAAGCTTATGGAAGACACTCTTAAAAAATCAAAGAGCTGATATAATGTTAGCCAGGAATTAAAAGGGGCATTACGAATTCTCTAATTCAGGTCTCATGGTTTTTAAATTATAATCTGTAAATCCCATAGGAATTAGCCCCATAAATGCCATTTTTTAGAATATTAGCAAATAACACTAGAGAATTAAATACCTTCATAAATTTTATTTTCTGTAGATAACATACTGAAAGAGTAAGCAATTGTTTAATTTTGATGGATTAACTATACTTAACTGGATAGCCAAGTTGTTAATAAAATATCATTTAGGAGGTTGAACTATGTTAATTAACCTTTTGAGATACCTCAGTGATCATATTTCAATGGATATAAATTTGTTTTTTTTTAATTTGAGCATAATTGAAACACGCAGTATTTACATTAGTTTCAGAAATTTAACTGTTCTATTTATTTGTTTATACTACTTCCAGAAAGGACTTGTGGATCTTCCAAGAAAAACACCATACTATTTTAATCATTAACATTTACTAAAATACGTAAGTCAAATAACAAAGGGAGAGAGGAAAGGGAGAAATGATAGCAGACAACCCACATTGGGAAAAGTTAGTGTCAGCACAAAGCTTGGCTCTGAGCTTTATTGCAACCCAAGTAAAGTAAAGTTAATGCTGATTTAATGCAAATAGCTCATAATAATGATACAGTAAAACCTCATTAACTTGGATTAATTAGAGACAGTCTATCTGAATTATGAAACTTAAATTATATCAGCATACCCTAAATTGTATAATTTTATATGCGTACAGGTCAGTGAAGCATTCTCTAGCAAATATATGGAGAAGGAGACTTGTTTTAAAGAACAGATAAAAAGAATTTATAAGTAATATACTGTATAACTTGCTTATATGTAAAGAAATGCTTACTAGAGTCATTGATCTACACAGGTACCTCATAGGTATTTATTTTACAGAGTTTAATTAGTGCTCCTGAAATTTATTTACATAATTTAGCTATCAAAACTATTCCTTAAGACAATTCAGAAATAAACTTTAGTACAGCCTCTGAACTAAATAAATAGCATTCTAAGACAGTATAGCTCTCTACAAATATTTGTTACCATGTTTAAGAGTAATGATGATTAGTGGTAACTTACTGTTAATTGTTGCCACATTTTAAATAATGCAAATCTGAACTGATGAGATTTTTGAGTTTTTAAGCCATTGAAATTTAGTGTGTAGTGAAAATATATCGATTACATTAGGGAGACAGTATAACACAGGCTTAGGAGTCATTTATTATCTGGGTGACCTTGAACAGGTCCTTAACCTGCCTGTGCCTCAGTTTCTTCATTTGTACAATGGGGATAATAGTACTAATGACCACATGTGATTGTTATGGAGATTAAATGAGCTAAAACATATAGCCACTTAATAGTATATGCTTCAGAAGGAAAGAAGGGAACATAACATTTCTTGAGACAATCTGTGCTATATCCATTATAAATGTTACGCCCATTTAGTCATCATTACATTTCTGCCAGGTAAGTATCATACCATTCACAGATGAGAAAGCCATCTTAGAGAGGTTCATTAACTTGCCTAAGATCACAACACTAAAAAGAACAGAACAAGATTCCACTGCAGATCTCTCATACCATTTCCACTGCCATGCTGCTATATCTAGATTTTTCCCTTAACCCATATAGAATTGCTGAAGCATGTCTAAATAAAACCGTGTACTTCAGAGGAATGTTTTACTCAAAGCAGTAGTTGATCAGAGTTAAAATGAAAATGGTTGAAATGAGCACAGATTCATTTAATATTTAATTATATGAGATTTGAAAAACTTTGCTCCTCATCTTTAACATTTATCCCACTTGTATTGTGTGCTCTATATAGAATATAGCATAATGATTTGCCCTTCCTAATTGATTATTTTGTCGTCTTTTTCTTTTTTTCTTTTGCTATACTTGGGTTCATTCTGAAATGTGACACTTCATTTGGCCCTTTGTGCTCTATGTCAGCGTCTTCAACTTTATGGATACCATTCTCCTACTAATAGTGTATGTACAATACTTTAAATGTTCTTTATGTAAATAGCCCTCACCTGTTATACTTGATAATGTTATTTCTTTATATACAGCTATATCTGCTATTGAGAATGTTTAGGAATTTATTGAATATAATAAGGTGCAGCCAAGCCAAAATTTTCTATTTCCTTCCTAGATTTATGAGAAGACTAAAATTTACAGAGCCATTGTGTATCTTTAAACTTAGATTGAAAAGCTGAGTGAACAACCACCAAAAGCTCTGGTAAAATAATGAAAATTTTATATTTTTCAGCAGTATTTGAAGAGTTAAATACAAATTATGGAGCAGATTCTCAGGCTATGCTCCTGCAGAACACAGGTATTTTAAGAACTAGATCTCTCCATCTGATACAGTCTTTTCTCAACTCTAATAAAGAGAATATTAATAGATAGACTTTTCTTAATCATTAGTATTTCTACAAAATTTTTCTAAAACTTTTGATGCCTGCCTACTGCCTGTGGTCTATACAAAAGCCTGGTATGATACCTGATATTATCATGTTATTTCTCAAAGAGGATTATGATTTTCAGACTCTTCTTTTCTTGAAAAAGTTGAGAGTTCCTGCAAATACCTTCCAGATATTCTTATACTAAGCTTTTCTTCTTTCCTTCCTCCTAGAAAGTCAGAGCTTGTTGGTTAGCCCAGCTCCTAAACAACTGAGAATAGGCCACGGCCCCTTTTGAATGTAAACATGCACAGTTCATTGAATTTCCCCAAGGATCATTAAGTCACTTGGAAGGATCTTTCAAATTATACAGACTCCCCAAGAGGAGCCCTTGAATTCAGGTTTACTGACTCAGTATCCTGCTTGAAATTGTTACAGTCCTAAGTGTGCAACTCTAAAGCAGGTGTGCTGTCTCCTGTGTTGGAGAGTTGATCAGAATTCCATACAATAAAAATTAACTCTGTTCTAGATTTAAACATACATTGGAGGATGATTCAGCATAAAATAAACCCAAGGTATCTTGCTTCAGTCACAAGGAATGGACCTAGAACAGGTTGGAGAATAAGCCAAGTCCATGGGACCCTTATGACTGATTGTTTTGATAACTCACAAGTACTTTAAATTTTTACTACAAAATTCACTACTGTTTCCAGTAAATAGTCTGCCATTTTCTTAAAAATTTTAATGTTCCTCTATTAATCATTTCAAAAATTTGTAAGAATGTATAAAATGAAAATCTCATAGATTATAATGCCATATGCCATCTGAAACTTAATAAATGTTAATAATATTTGTGACTTTAACTTATTCTTCTAATCTCATGTGTCATTGCACGAGCCATTTTTCCAACTGTGGCATTTTACATTTTCCTTGAAACTCAAATAATTTTCATATAGATGATTATGTGGCTTTTAAAAATATACATTCCAGAGTACTATCATTAAAAGGAAACAGGTACTAACATAGCTCTAGTTTAAGTTACATATAGAAATTGCAGTCACTCAGAGTAAGAGAATGATATTAAGAAGCCGATTTAAATTGCCTATTTTGCTTATATTATGCTTGCTTATTTAATAGTAACGTAAATATATGATTTTACATTTTATTGTGATAGTATTTTTTATTTTTGTTATTTAATTGAAGACATTTTTTCCATCTAAGAATATAAAATACATTTTTTTAAAGATTTTATTTATTTATTTGACAGAGACACAGCGAGAAAGGGAACACAAGCAGGGGGAGTGGGAGAGGGAGAAGCAGGCTTCCCGCTGAGCAGGGAGCCCAATGTGGGGCTCGATCCCAGGACCCTGGGATCATGACCTGAGCCGAAGGCAGACACTTAACGACTGAGCCACCCAGGCGCCCCTAAAATACATATTTTAAAGTCATGTAACTTGATGTCATTTTTATCCACAGTCTTATTAAATGGATTTTGCATGACTTTTCAACTCCCTTAGGGTTTGGTTGGTTATATAAACTGACATTTTTTTCCTCTAATAGAAAAAAGTTTTTGCTCAGAAAGGAATGATCATTTTCAAAAACATGCAAACGAGAAATTTGTTGAAAATTAGAAAAAAGTTCAGTTGGCCCAAAAATTTGTATAATACCATGATGTACATATTGCATGAATATATTAGTACAATATTATGAATTAACTGGCAGTTATGTGCTAGTTTCCAAAATTGTAGATCAACTGGAGTGCCAAAGTATCTAATGTGAGTGCAGTTCATGGAGCTGAATATAACCTAAGAGTCTACGTTTAGGAAGAAGTTCCTTCAGGAAAGGCAGGGACCCTCCTCACTTTGACTATAGAGCGATTCTGTGGCCTCTGTAATAGCCTGTTAGAAAATTTAATCACTCTTAGTAGATTCTGCCTGTATTATGTCAAATTATTTCCTGCTACAGTGTAAGGTTGAGCATTCTCCTTCATATCCATGAAGATAGTTACCTTATAGCCTTTTCTGTTCTGAATAACCATGATTCTTTCCATATTTCTCATATATTCAACTCTTGATTATCTTGCCACAGGAATGAAAACAAGTATTAAAAATTCAAAAGAATAAATAGTGCAAATCAAGTATATTTTACTTTGAAATGTCCTATATGGTTTTTTTAAGTTTTTTAAAGATTATTTTAATTACCCTAATTCCATTGTAGTCAGAAAAATGCCAACTTTTATACAGTTTTTGACATGTGTTGAAACTTGTTTTATGGACTAAAACAATGTCTGTGTTTGAAAAGAATGTGTATTCTCCAACTAGGGTACAGAGTTGTATTATATATAAGACCAAACATGTTAATATGTGTTTTAAACCTCTATCTTTATCAATATTTTTGTCAGCTTGATCTGTTAATTAGTATGTTAAATTATACTTACAGTGATAGACTTGTTAATTTCTACTTGTAATTCTGGTTATTTTTAAATTTTATATATTTTGAAGCATTGTTATTCCCTGCCATAAGAATATAGATTTCTTAAATCTTTTTAGTGAATTGAATCTTCTCTTATATACTATCCTTAGATCTCTAGAAGTGTTTTTTGCCTAAAAATCAATATAGTTGTCAAAATAAATATACCAACTTTATTTTTATTAATATTTTGTATTATTTTCTATTTAGTTTTATTTTCTGTTCTTTAGTAATGAAACTTTCCCTTATTTTTAAAATACACTTTTTAGTTCAGAAATTTACTGCAAATAAAATGTAAATATACAATTAATAATGAAAGTATAGATCTTGTATAGATCAATAAATAAAACATTGCCATGCCCCCAAATGCCCCTTCCTAGGTCTTTCTAATCATAATCCCTCCCTCTCCTCCAAAAGATAGCCACAATCATGACTTTTATGTAAATCACTTCTTTGCTTTGCTTTGTGGTTTTACCACCTACTTAACGCATCCTCAACAGTATATTTTTTTTTAAGATTTTATTTATTTGAGAGAGAGAGAGAGTGAGAGAGAGCACAAGCCAGGGGGGAGAGGCAGAGGGAGATGGAGAAGGAGACTCCCCACTGAGCAGGGAGCCTGATGCGGGGCTCCATCCTAGGACCCTGGGATCATGACCTGAGCCGAAGGCAAATGCTTAACCAACTGAGCCACCCAGGCGCCCCAACAATATAGTTTAGTTTTACCCATATTTGTGCTTCGTATGAATGGGATCATATTAAATGAGTTTTTCTGTTCTTGCTTCTTTGACACAACCATCATGATTGTCTGTTTCATCTGCACTGTTGTATCCAATCCTAGTTTACTCACTTTTATTGTTGTAAGCAGCAGTTCTCAAACATTCTGTTCTCAGGATCCCTTTATTGAAAAGTTAGAGAGGACCCAAAAAAGCTTTTGTTTATGTTGGTTGTATCTGTATTTACCATATTAGAAATTAAAACCGAGAAATTTAAAAGTATTTACTAATAATCCACTTAAGAATAATAAACTCACAAGTTAAACATATTTTATGAAGAATAACTTTAAAAATGTAGCGAGGAGGGTGGTATTTCACATTCTTTGGGAATCTCTATAATGTCTGGTTTAATAGAAGACAGCTGGTTTCTCATGGATGCTTATGCATTCAACCTGTTGCAGTATGTTATTTTGGCAACAAATACTACTAATTGTTTCCCTTGAAGTGACAGGCTCACTTGGTTCATTTTCAGAAGACTGCCCACCAAATACCAAAGTCTGAATAACTATACTTTCTCTAGCCATTGTTCTTTCAAGTAAAAATGGCAGCTCATGAAAGAGGTGACCAGTTCACCTTGCAACACAAACCTTTGCACAGAGGCTTTTTCTCAAGACAACCATTGTACTTCAGAAGTGTTTTATGAATGCTTCTAGTTTCATCACATTGAAAATTAAAAAAGTGTGTGCTCAAAGATTAATTTAAAAAATTGTGTTTTATTCTTCAGCAAGTACATTCTTAAGTGAATTTTTTTTTTTTTAATATGAGTGTATGGAACTGAAGAATGTAATGACTTTGGTCTTTGTTGCCACTGCTGTCTTGTACTAAGACACCAGCAGTTTTACCCACCATTGCTGTTACACCATCACTCAACACAGTACCTGAGGCAAACAACATCTATACAGTGCTTTTAAGAAGATATAACTATTTTATATTTTGTCCAGCTTTTTCAGTTATTTTCAATGAGAAGCTTGCTGCTGCTTACTAGCCTGTCATTAATAGAAACCTGGCATATCGTTTTCGGTCTCTGTCCTTATATCTTGATAGGTCTTTTTTAAAAGCATATAATTTGTGTATGTTATTGTTTTTTTTTTAATATGGGTTGATAATTTCTACTTTTTATTTTTTTTCTTCTTTTTTTTTTCAAGATTTCATTCATTTATTTGAGAGAGAGAGAATGAGAGATAGAGAGCATGAAAGGGAAGAGGGTCAGACGGAGAAGCAGACTCCCCGCCGAGCAGGGAGCTCGTTGCGGGACTCGATCCTGGGACTCCAGGATCATGACCTGAGCCAAAGGCAGTCGCTTAACCAACTGAGCCACTCAGGCGCCCTATAATTTCTACTTTTT